CCGTGCGCCCAAAAACGTGTACGAAAATTGTATCCATACATATATATATATACACACACATATCCATTTTTTCTAAGGTATGCCAAAATGTTCAGGAACTTTCAAATTGTGAAGATATGCAAAAATCTTTAATTTCTTTAATTTTTGGGCCATTACTATAATTTATCCTACTTCAAATTTTTCAAGAAAGTCAATTTTTTTCCAAAATATCAAAATACTCAAATCAAATTATTAATTATCAAGTTATTTAAAAAAATTAAAGTTTTTTTAAAAAAAATAATTTACAGTACGGAAAAATCCAGCAATTTGTCTGAAGGCACGATGCCTTGCACCATTAGTTTTTAAGTTTTATTTTTCTAAATAAACTGTTATTTTAAGGAATAAAACTGTCGTGTCAGTATTTCTGAATATTTGTGACCTGCTTTATATAATGCGTCCGTCGTTTGGCGAATTCATCCGGGATTTACCCGTTCTGCCTCCATTCTGCGCTTTAGATCTGAGTTATTGATTTAACACAGTTCCATTCTTTTATGAGACCCACGACACAATAATACAATGCCCGAATACCTTTAAAGGGTGTGAATATTCCAAATTGACGTATTTTCCTAATAGTGGATTACCCATTGTTGTTATTCTTTGTTTGCGGTTAGTTTATCTCGAATATTGCACATGTGTTAACGATGATAAGCGTTCAATATTAGTACCTGATCGGGAGGGAATTATTCTAATCGGAAATTTTACTAATACTTCAGCAGGATGTTCGTCGTAAAATCAGTAAATATGATTCGATGAAATTAACATATATTTTCAAAAGGCATGTAATCAATATGTTAATCACAGTACGCATTTTTAAACTCTTGCATGCGTGCTAAATAAAATTGTCCTCTGCAAACATTTAAAAATTTTGAATTTTTAAATTTGACTGATTTGACTTGGTTATTTTACTAATAAATATTAAGTTGTATAAGTAAACTATTCAATTAAAATTAGAATAATATTTACACATTAACAATCAAATTTCATGAAATTACAATAGAAGTGAATTGCATGCAAAATATTTATTCATAAGGTAGGGCGGGGCACGAAGGTCCAATTTAACTTTCAGTAATAACACTACCTATTCCAAATGAAGAACATCACGACAAAAAGCACATATCAAACAAACAACTATACAACTATATGTTCAGTGAAATTCCTAGTTAATTCCTAATTACAGAAATAAGATTTTTAACTATTTTTCTGAAATTTGTCATCCGTCCTTTTTTGTCCTTTGCGGCGGGGCAAGAAGGGACAGCCATGGGGCAAACAGATCGAACGTCTTATTTTATTTTAAAGGAATTTTGCGAAATCATAGATACATTATTTCGCCAATCAGAAATGGTGAAAAATTATACAATCATGATCAGCAGAAATAGGTATTCATGAGCGGATTTCGATAATTTAATATATTCTTTGTAAAATGTTTTTTATCCAATTTTTGAAAATAAAAACTACCACCAAAAATTACTTTTAGTATGAATTATCAATATTCATTTTTCTTTACCACATGATAGCCATGTTGCAAAATTAGGGTTATGCCTGTTTAAACATCTAGTGCCTCTAATTTAAAATAGTATTACTCAAAATTCAAATTTCTATAATTTCTTTTTATCCACCGACCCTCAAACCCCCATCTACTTTATTCTATAAGAAATGGCAATAGAATTTTGAAATTTAGAGCGTTATTAAACATTTATATCTTGATCCCTTTTCGTAGGACTATAATATTTTAAAATATTCGTTACGATATGAACTCTATCATTAAAAACTGTTTGATTTTTGTCGAAAACGTGGTTAAAATTTTGCACTTATCACAAATAAACAAACGCGAAATATAAAAAAGCAAGTTCTTTTAGAATTTTATCAAATGATTTATTTTATTTTTTTTAATCATTCTTGATTAAATGTGGACGAAAAGACAATTTGTTTCATATTTGTTATTATTAGTATTAAACGCTTCAGAAAGACTTTAGAGGTCGTAAAAACATAAAATTAGCAGATCGTATTTTCTGGTAAAAACAATTTCCTCCCGTAGTTCATTGATTGAAAATAAACAATGATGAAAATTATTTTAAATATCTTGCTTATCAATTTCTAATTTTATTTAGTATCTATTCAATTAAACTTTGTAATGCTTTTCAGTAGACGGTAATGTTGTCTGAAGTAGCATTGCTCCAGATGAAAAAAATAGTTCTTGAGCTGGAATCTTATCCAAGTTTTAAAAATATTTAAAATGAACTAAATTTTAATAAATTTAAAATATTTACATTTAATTTATATTTTGTTTATAGGTACACCAAATTTGTATTGACTATCAAGAATTAATTTAATTTTATTAATTTTTCAGAACTACTAATTTGATAAATCAATCTAATATTTTACTCATTAACAACTAGATTTTATTAATTTACTATAAAAATTAATTACATGCAAATTATTTGTAAATATGTATGAATTGTGTGGTTGTATATGTTGCGACAAATACAAATGTATTCTCATTCATAATAGTCATATAACTTCTTCTAGAAATATTTGTTACTTTCAGTACGCATACATTTATCGCCTGCAAAGCAAACAAACCAGAATCATTTTTGTGGTTTTGTGTTTTCCAGAATTATCGATGAATAACTTGTCTTTAGAAAATTTGCTCTAAAACGCAAACTCATCCGAGCTTCTGAAAGACTTTGTTTTGGTATTTTAAGAATTAATGCGGATTACAACCTACAAGTTTGACTAAACTGAAGATTAGAAAGTAACAATCTAAATCCTAGCAAATTTTGCGGAAAAAATATAAATACTTTTCAACACTGAATGGTCTTAAAAGGCACATTATGAGAATTATTAGGACGATAAATTTCCCCATAAGTTACTGCTTATTTAAATCTAAATTATCTGGAATATCCAATGAAAATCATTAACAGATAAAAAATCGAGCAGCTTTTACATACGTATGGGGAAAGTATACAAATATGTTTCTTACTCATTTTGAATAAAATGTAAATTAGAAATTTCAATAATGGCAAAATTTAGGTTTATTAATTTTTCGTATCGAATTAATATCTGCAGTTAGAATATTTTACTTTTTTCATTTCATAATTAATTTTTTAGTTAATTAATTTTACACTTTTTTACACAATTTTCTATCAACACTTTTTCTATTAAATTAGGCTTTGCACTTTATTGTTAGTATCACTTCACAATAAAAATTGTTTAAAATTTAGCAAATATATTTTAATTTTTAACATAAACTATTATGTTGGAAAAATTCTCAATATTCTTTTATCAATATTTTTTACATTATACAGATTATAAATATTTTTCGAAGCACTATTAACCAAAAATTTATGTTGAATATGCTACCAAAGTCTTAATTTTTTAAAAACTAGATTTAAATTAAATTTTTTTTTTGCATTATATTGATTATAAATAATTATTTTTTCAAAATACCAATATTCCAAAAAATATATTGAATATGCTACTGAAGTCCATAATTATGTTTAAAAGTTCTATATATTAATCTTTTCATTTTACATATTGTCTATTTATCAACGAATAATGATAAAAAAGATTTTACATACGTTATTTTTGTTTAAATATATTTACTGATTTGTTTAAATATATTTACGCAGCGTGCAATTGATAATTTATAAAACCCATCATCAAGTAAAAGATTAAAAATTTGGCTTTTGTTAGAAGAAATGTTGATGAATAATTATAATGTATATATCTACATACAAATTTTCTGAAATAATTAAAGCATGTTGTTATATACCCTTCAAATATTCTGTAAATTAATTTTCTTAATTAAACCGACAAAAACTAACTAAATTTTTCCTTACCGATTATTTCATCATGATCAAGGATTTTACAAGATTACGGTATGGACTTTTGACATTATAATATACGATATCAAATAATGAAAATTACTTCGATACTTAAATGTTATTATCGTAATTGAGAATAGATTTAATTTTTTATTGAGAAACTCTTTCTGATGGAGTGCAACATTTGGTATGCAATATCGCCATTAATTCAAATAATTTGCAAATCATCTTATATTAGTTTCGTAGTTGTGATTATATTTTGTATTTAAGAGCTGAATAAAATAGAATAATTACTTGTAGAAATTTAATATTAGTTGTACTAATATACTTATATATTTTATTTAAACAATAACAAATTTCAATACACAAAGTATAATTTTAGTTTTGAAATTTCAGTGATGAATTTTTACACCAAATCTATTTGAATATTTCTGTAATTAGTTTATTGGTTATAAGTATATTTATCACACGTGTATAAAGATTTTTTCTAATAAAATAAATCTTAGAATTAATTCCTTTGTGTGGGTAAAAATTTTAAAACTTACTATTTCACTTCGAAACTGTTATTTGGCACACAATCATTATTATTTTAAATACTGATAGTTAATACTTGATCTGAAAACAAAATGTCAGGAAACAATATTAAATAAAACTTGTAAATTATTTTGATAATTTGATAATTCTATATATTTTCTCCTATAATACAATGTATATACATTTATAATTTACATAGTTATTTACAAAAACTCAGGGTAATAATTTATTTTTATATCTTCATAATACAATAAGTATTTCCTCGGAATTGTATAAATATTTAAAATTATACTTATTATAATACTGGTAATGACTGAACGCAAAACATATCTCCAACATTTAATATCATCTTTTATATTGAGAATTAACATTACATAAAAAGACTAAAACGTCTTTAACATTTTCAAATAATTAAAACATTGTCTTAAACTCTCAAAATAAAATAATGAAAATTCTACATATGATCATAAAACTCAATCTCACATACGATGATGTACACATCACAATTTTCTGTAATTTTTACATACACTCATTACATCAAATTTTAACACTTATGATTACAATTGTTTGGCTAATAATTGTGTGAATTATAAGTCACGTAATTCAGGGATCGGATGGAGGAGTTTGGTAGCCTTCCGTAGGACTCGCTTGTCCTACACGCGCTTGAGCCGCCGCCAATTGGCCGTAATATCTTCCCAAAAGTCGAGGATCGATTCCTAAAGCGGGTGGCCATGGTCCAAGAGCCGTCCATGGCTGATGGTCAGCGGGTGTTGAAGGTGATGGTGGTCCGCCTTCGTGGTCACTACTAACCACGTCCACATCAACTTCCGCTTCGCGTTGTTCTTCATCGCTATCATTTTGCCGCAGTTGCTTTCGTCTATCTTCATCAGGTGCAAGTAAAGAAGCGACATCAAATTGCCGCTTGCGTGTACTTCCCGTCGCAGAATAACCAGTCGGTGCGGGTCCTACCGTCGGCCTGTGCCAAGTTCCACTGCCATACAAACTATTCGGGGTAACAGGAAGAGCACCAGGAGTAGGTGATATCGGTGGTGGACTAGGACTGTCATTGCCTTCTTCGTCGACCGCTAAGCCCATGTGCTTTCTAACTTTACGTTGTGCTTTCCGTCGCCGAAAATCACCTTTGCGAAAATCTTCTACATTTGCCGGGTGTATCGCCCAGTAGTGACCTTTTCCATTGGCACTTCGACCGGCTTTTACAAAACAATCGTTTAATGAGAGATTGTGTCTAATTGAATTACGCCAGCCCGGACCTCGTGTTCGGAAATATGGGTAGTTGTCTAGTATGTGCTGATAAATATCTGACAGAACTAGTTTGGTTTCCGGTGAACTTAAGATTGCCATAGCTATAAGACCGATGTAACTATGTTGTGGTTTTGGTTCTTCAGGTTGCAGCATTCGCTGATGAAAAAGCGACATTGACAAAGCCAGTCTTGGTCCGTAAGGGCTTGGATAAATTGGTAACGGTGCGGGATATTGCGCAAATCGCAATCTCTCCGCAACGGCGTAGTTATACAATTGAAGTCTATAATGGTCAAAAGGTAACAAACCATTAGCTGCAGCCATGGGTTGCATTGGATTTGGAGCCGGCGGTGATTCATTCAACTTTCCCATTGTCGATATCGGATATGTCAAGCCTGGACTAGCGGCGCCTTCGTTGCTGCACATTTTAAAACTAAACTTTTTTTATATGCACATGCACAGATCACTCAAATGTCACTTAAATCACACAAGTTACGTTTGTAATAACAGTAAAATATGTTCGATGCTTCTGCATCAAATCGCAGACGATGTATGACTAAAACGGTAACGTTCCTTGGGGCTACCGGTGCACGTTGATAACAATAGGAGCAGCATGCATCCCTTCCACAACCGAAATCAGTATATATGTGTTGGCAAACAGTCCAGCATGCTTTCCCACCGAGCAGCCTCTCCGTTCTACGGTACTGCTCTTTCGCACGCGTTTCGCTCTACGATCTAGGGATCTTCCTGCCGCGGGGCGAAGAGAAATTTAGTGTTCTGATAATATTTGTCCGCTGTGTGTTGTACACAAACGAGAAAAGTGGGTGGCGACGATGAAAACTTGCGCGCCAATGGTATAGCGATTCGCGGTCTACGCCCATGGTGTACAAATATTAGAAAAAAATAACAGGCGAGGGATAGACAGCGATACCGGTTGTGTTTATGTTAATTTACGGAATTGTTCAAGATTTATGCTGTTTATTGTTGAGTGCGTGCGATGTTTATTTTGACGACGAAATTATATTTATATTGTTTTGTGCGACATAATGTTTATACGTCAGAGTTAATATTTAATATAATTAAAAGTATATATGTGGATATCTTTAATATAATTAAAATATAATTAATAAACCAAAACTAAACTGTCTCAAACTAACTAGCTAAAAACAACAAGACAAGAACAAAATGGTAGTAAACTAGTGGTGCATGGCGTCGTGCAAATTGCTGCAACTTCCCGTACCGTAATTTAAATTTTTTAAAAACGTTAAGTTAAAAGTTTTTTTGAAAACTTTAAAAAAAATTAGATTTTTGAGAGTTTTGAAATTTTTGAAAAAAATTGACTCTTTTCAAAAATTTTAATTTTTTTATGTTTTTTTTTTTCAAAGAAATCGCGCTGCATAAAGATGACATATCAAAGCGCGTAAGCGCCGTATCGCAATTTGACGAATGAGCATGGTACCGAAACCATAGAAATGTAAACAAAATTTGTTTTTATTACAAAAATCTCTATAAAACATATAATAATTTGATGTGCATATGCCTGATTATTTCTGACCGAAAAACGGCATTTTTAATACTTTTTTATTAGATCTCCGAAACCTCTAGATCTGCATTCCCAAAAATAATATCATTTTTCCATCTCGCCAATACAAATAAATTGTGTTCTGAATTATTCAAATCGGACGCTCCGTTATCTCAAAAGTTGAATTACCTTTTTTAGCAGCTTTTGCTCCGTATCTTCGAAACGGCTGGACCTGACTTTGCCAAAAACTTTAATGACTTTTCTTTAATGAATGCCAAAATGTTCAGAAAGTTTTAGAACGTAAAGATATATAAAAAGTTTTATTTTAGATTGTTTGCAAGTTTTTATTTTAGATTATTGAATAATTTCAAAAATCAGAAATTTGTCGATAATTTTGTTTATCATATTTTAAGTTGAATATTGAATCTCTTTGATGTTCTGTGGGCATGTAGATGTGCTTAGACCTGACTTTGCCAAAAACTAATCAGCACATACACACATAAATACATCCATGTTTTTTAATGAATGCCAAAATATTCAGAAAAATTTTGATTTTAGATTTCTGTGCGAGTTTTTTATTTCAATTACCGTATAGTTTCAAAAATCAGAAATTTGTCGATAATTTATGTCGATTATAATATTTTAAGATGAAAATCGAAATATTCCTGAAAATTTTCTGAGCATTTAGATGTGGTTATTTTTTTTTTAGAGAAATCTGTTTTAAGTTACTGAATGTAACATAAAGTAAATGATTATTACTTTATATTATATTTAGTAACAGATTACTCACCATTATAAGGTTGTAATTATAACCAATTGTTGTTACTTATTTATATAAAAAAACTTATAATTATTGAATGTATATACTTACATGTATTACTTACATGTATTCAGTTATTATTTGTTTAATTGAAAAATGTATATTTTTAAATTATTTATTATTTCATTCAGAACTGCTTTGAATTACATAGTCCTGATTTGTTTGTATAAGACTTAACCTAATGAGAGGCAACCCATCCGTTAAACATTTTGCTATGTGTAGCGATTATATCAGTTTTTATAAGTGTATGTTTTGCAGCTATGCCCACGAAATACGATTTTGACTTGAAATTATATTAAAATCTATAACCTTAAGTAGAAAATTGACATCATGATGCCTCATGCCGGACTTGGACAAAGCGGGTATAATGCAATATAATTTTGTTTCAACCTTAATAATTCCATAGTTATGTTAAAGTACGCAATAGTGCAATTTACTAATAAAATATCTATTATACTATTGCAACCGACTGTTATATACAATTTGTGAAAATAATATTCATAATTTGAACAAATATTTCAAAATACATAAATAAGTATTCAAAATCATTGCAAACCCGTTCTGTTTAACTATAATTGCTATTCAACAAACAACAAATCGATCGCAATAACACAAATCTATTTGCGGCAAAACAAGGACGGTTCAGTCGCGCGCAAAATACCGCTATTCATGGAACCACCCCGAGCTTCGAGCCCTCGTGAGAGAGAGAGAGAGAAGTTTAATACATCGAGAGCTTTTGCCGGCCACTCCCTCTTCGTTTACTCGCCATCTTGCTCGGAAGCATCTTACATCTTTTTCGATCCGAGCAGGATGCTATCAGGTCTTCTCGTTTACTCTTAAGCAAGATAGGAGCTTTTAGGTAGTTAGGAGGTGTGTATAGGATTGTTTGTGCGAATGCATTTGCATGAAAGTTCTGTGGTGTGAGCGAAACACTCGCCGGATGCATAATTCGGAGCATGGAAGAGTGTACGAATTCTCTATCGCACTTTGTGGCGAGTAAGTCCCAAGGGCGAACTGCCGTTTTGTAATAGCAATTTTAAAAAAAATAATCAAATTCTTCATGTGATATAAGGTAACCCCGATATAACACAAAATTGCTATATCACGGTTGTAAAATTACGGCTATTCGCCTTAAAGATGACACGTTAAAGTTAGGATTTGCTATAACACTTAAAAACAAACCTTACCTAATTTAAAATTAGTGAACTGACCACGCAAAAGCTTAAAAACGTGATGAAACTAGTGCAAAAGACATTTTTTATTCAAGCGCGTACGTTCTGTCCAAAAAATGCATCAATAGGTAATGAAATATATGCCTATCTTTTCAAATGAAATGAAATATATACATTACAAATATCTGTAATATTAATATATCATAATAATATATCAATGAATTAATTATTAATTATCATTAAAATATACGTAAAATAAGAAACTATTTTTTCCTTGCTATTCTCGATAATAAGAAACTAACGTGACGTTGAAAGAAAATATTGAATAAATGTATCGATTGGTTGGTTCTATTGTGAACAGAATTAAACTAGGCGTAAGTGACATTATGTTTTAAGGTAAGTTATAAAAACTTCCTGACGTGGGTACATGTGTGACTACACGAATACACTTGGACACACAATGGAATTTTCTAGAAAAAACAAACTTTTTCTTCAGGAAGCCTTAAAGTCATTCAACATAAAATACAATTATTTACATCTATGCCAATATACAGGACAAGGCGAGACACAAGGGTCCAAATCGACTTTGAGTAATTCTTGTGAAAAACAAATGAATTACATCACAACAAATACCACATATCAAGCAAACAATTATCAGACTATGTTCAGTAAAATTCATTATGATAGAAATTTTTTTTTTGCTATTTTTTGAAAAATTTGTCCTAGTCTTTTTACTTCATAGACGGCAAAAAATAGGATAGATAATAAATAGGCTAGGGGATTTGAAGACCAACGAACCAGCAACGAATATTGCAGTTTAATTATTAAATTAAATAACAAAATTCAAATTTATATAAATAAATTTGTATTCAAAAGTATAAAAAGCAAAAATTATAAATCACGACAAACAATATGAAATTAGCCCTCAAATCAAAAAGTTCTCTTTATTATTATGATACATAATAACTATTCAATAATAAAGTTTTTGTAAATTATTTTTCGTCTGATAAAATTAATAAGTTATCGTGAACTTAAAAATACTGTGAAAATCAATAAGATCATTACGAGTATGTTGGATATAATAAAAGTTAACATTACACAATATTACATCTTATTGAATTGAAATTCAATTGTAAAACAATTTTAATCATACAATATAAATAATAATTTAGTTCACATTGTTCAGTGCATGGCAAAGAGAACTATTAATCGTTTATTTGTGATGTTTAAATAATTCAGGTTATATTAAAATTATTTATCTAACTGTTTTGCATTTAAAGTAATAAGAGCTTTTAAAGAAAATGGCGATCTACATTTTGCAGAACAATTTTTATTCAATCTATTTAAACACAAAAACTAAACCATTCAATTGAAACTACTAAATAAAAATTATTATTATTAATTGTTATCTATGTAAAAACAATAATTGCTACTAATATTAAAATAAAAAAAAAAATAAAAATTTCTAGGAGCTTAAGGAATGGTAGATAAATCCAATAATTTCCAATGTTATTTTAGAAAATGGTCTTGATATTTAAATATTTCGTGGCAAATGATATCTAAAACATAATTATACGAATATATCATTTACCTACGCGTACAGTTCTTCGATGTAAACTTTCTTTAGTGTCTATTGTAGTGTTTGATTTAGAATAGTATTAATTAGATATTGTAATACAAAAATGCAATTTTAATTTCTATAGAGTGTGTAATATTATTACACAATTCTCTTGACTTTTATCTTCAAGTTCGCTTCTGGTTTTCGTGCGAATTGCAGAGGTATTGGTTGTTGTATTCCGAGGTACGCGACTCTAATGCGAATTTGCATATAATTCGGAGATGTATTTATGTTTGACTTTTGCATAAATAAATATATTAAAAGCGTTTCTGCTTCAACGTCTTGTTAGACGAT